TAATTGAAGAATAATTGTTTTCTATGTTGATCTTGTGGAGTCAAGCCCCGTATATATACAAAGTTATCGGTCTCCTAACTATGGTAGAATACGAACAAGGAAATCCTATACAAAGGAAACTACCATATATAAATATATTAAATATACAATAATATATTTAACATGCTACCAACTACGTGACGGGCGATGGGCGGATGCCCAGACTGTGCCTGAAGTCGGAGAAGAGGAGAGAAGGTAGCCCTTTGGTAAAGATGTCAGCATACTGGGAAGAAGAGGGAACATGGAGAACACGGACCTGTCCGAGAGCGACCTTGTCCCTGACAAAGTGTATGTCAACCTCTACATGTTTCGTGCGCTGATGCTGTACTGGGTTGGTCGATAGATACACTGCACTAACATTGTCACAGAAGACCAGAGTGGTGCGGCGCAGAGGTTGCTGTAACTCAAGAAGAAGATTTCGGACCCAACTTGCCTCAGCCACGGCATTTGCAACTGCTCGATATTCGGCCTCAGCACTCGAGCGGGATGTGGTGGCCTGTCTCTTGGAGGACCAAGAGATGAGGTTGTCGCCGAGAAAAACACAATAACCAGAGGTGGAGCGACGAGTGTCAGGACATCCCGCCCAATCAGCATCAGAGTATGCCTGTAGCGAATCTGTGCGTGTGCCATGAAGAGTGATCCCATGAGTGGTGGTGCCATGTAAGTAGCGAAGAACACGCTTCATGGCGGTGAGATGAGTGTTGCGGGGGGCATGAAGATGGAGACATAGCTGCTGGACAGCATAGGTGAGATCCGGCCGTGTGAAAGTAAGGTACTGTAATGCTCCAACAACGGACCTGTATAAGGTGGGATCGGAAAGTGGTGTGCCAGAGGAAGCCCCAAGTTTTGCCTTTGTATCAACAAGAGTGGAGATGGGCTTGCAGTTGAGCATGTCTGCACGTTCCAAGATCTCGTGAGCAAACTGAGTCTGATGAAGGAAGAGCCCCTGTGGTGTACGCTGAACATTGATCCCGAGGAAGAAATTAAGGTCACCCATATCCGTCATGGCGAATTCCCCTTTGAATTTAATGCTTTGATGAGGATGTGTTTGGGCCGGGTGATGCCTGCTTTGGATCGGGTAACCATTGGGTGACTGGGTATTGGGCCGTGGCTTGTGAGTGGGGCGAGGGAGGGTTGGGCTGCGGGTTGAGGTGAATTGGGCCGGAGGTGGGGTGAATGGCCCGTGGGTGATGTGGGTTGGGGAATGGGTTGGGCCGTGGGGTTGACGGATGAGGGAGTATGTTGGGCCGTGGGTTGGGACGAG